TTTTAACAATAGTCATTTAGCCATTTACTCAATGATTACACTCAATCTCGCAAAGAAATTTTAAGTCATTCTTTATTGTATTTTATTACTTAATTTAATAAAACTTTTGACTTCTCTATTTTAATTTTTCGAAACAAAAATTTTAAATTGATCTACAACGTCTGAAAAAGAAATACAAATGTATGATTTTTGCAATTACTAGTAATTAATAATTAGTTCATCATGACTATTAATTAATAATTAACTCAGAAGTCATATTGCCAAGTTATTTTAATGTTTCATTCGTAAAGTATTTCTAACTTGTTCATATTGTGTGAACAACGTGACCATTCTTAATATATATTTTGAAAATATTTTTCCAAACGTCAGTTAAAAAATTTTTAGCATAAGAGGTCATAAAATAAAACGAAAGCGAGAAAAAAGCATAAGTTTGTGGAAATCAAACAAATTACTACGGAGAGATAAAAAACCAGTTTAAGTTATTTTCTTTTAGACTAATTTACACTTGCTGGTTTTTCTCATTATTAATAACAGTAAATGAAAAAATAATATTTTTTCATACTTAGATTCATAACCAATTACATAAAAAGCAAGAACAAAGATGTCAGGACATATTTTGTCTTTACAAACATTGGCTCAAATTCAAAAAAATTGAATCTAAGATAAAATGTGTTTCCTTTAAACAGCTTTAACACAGTCAAATATAAATCATTCGTCAAATTAGTAAAATTGTATACAGGAAATTTATTTTCTTTAAATATTATATTAAAAAAATCAAAATTTATTTAATGAAGGAAAGCGTTTCCCGCTTTAATACAAAATCAAGCAATTTTTTTCGTGAGACAATTGAAAGCGTAGTAAAGAAAAGAAAATTATTTTCGAAGTTAATTTATTCTAAAACTGTGCACTTCAATTCATTAAAGAATTCTGAAAATGTTTGACAATACAGTACGTTTTTAATAGATAATGAAAATAGTTCAAAAAACTGCCATCGCATCTTTTACTGTATTTCTTTTGGTTTTACGATAGTTTGAGTTTACTTCTTTTTTAGAATTATTTAATTTAAATTTTAATACTGAAATTAGTTAGAGGAACTTTCAGCAGAGACTAAGAAATGTTTTAGAAAACTTTCCTACTGATTTGACAGTTCAGCACTTTTAACATAATAAGAAATAAAATGTATAAAAATAGCAGAACATTCGGATATACCTTCTATTATGGGCGTATTTTGAAACAGTAAGAATGTATCTGGAAACGTAAAACGTAAATTTCTTTTTGTATAAATTCTGTTTCAATCACTGTAAATAAGTTTCGAAAATGTTTTCATTAAATTTTGCTTCTTGGCCACGACAAATAAATTCTGAAATTTTTTTTTCAGTAGATTTATTATATTGAAACAGCTTATACTAAAATGTAAAATTTATCATCATTTAGAACTCTACATTTTTAAATGCCGCAAAGATGTTGCTATTGTTCACTTAAGGAACTTATTAATTTCATGAAGAATATTTTTTAGAAGTCTTATAGTTAGAGCATTGAGTGCTAAATTTAAAAATTTAATTTAGGTTATGATTATCACTTGTTATCTTAAATCCAATATGCTTTTAATCATGTTTGGAGATTCTTACTTCATGGTACTGAAGTATGCGAAGATAGCTCCTTCGAGATACTATTATTTTATTAAACATATTTACATTTATATACAAGTTGGTTTGATTTACAAGAAGCATCATCACAGCAGGTGATGAGAGAAATACTGACAGGCTGTCATGTGCGTGCTGGTATTTATACAATTCTAATATGATGACGTCAGAACTCTTATTTCAGTTCACTTCAAAAATAAGTAAAAACACAATTGATTAAAGACAAACAGATAACAATATGTAATAAACTTGATTTTACAATGAGCGGCGAACCTATCACCACACAGTATCCCCCCAGTGACAAAGTCACGATACCAATAATGATTGTTTAAAAACAATCATAAAATACAAAGTAGTAAATTCAAATATACGTTTTAATTACGAAGAAAAAAATTTAACTTGGAAATTGGAATGCAATTAATGGATACAAAATATTTAGATGCTTTTATATTCCATACTCTTTAACAAAATATTTTGGAAAATGCACACGGCGACCAGATTTTGTAACAATTTGCTTTTCTTCCTTTGTTGGAGATAATTGCTTTTCGCCCATTGGAATTTTATTTATTTTTAATTTCTCAGAAATTTGAAAAGCTGGTTTAATTCTATCTATTGAGATAGTTATTTTCTTACCATGAAAATCAATAATAAAGGTTTTATCAGAACGTTCAATTACCCGGTGTGGTCCGGTGTATGCAGGTGATAGAGGAGGACGAATTTTATCTACTTTTAAAAATATATGAGAACAAGATTTTAAATTAGGATTAATATAGAACTTATTTTTACTGTGTGCTGATGCTGGTACAGGACTTAATTTTCTCATTGCGGCCATTAAATTTGTAACATAATTTTCTGTTACTGGTGGAGATAAAGAATTTGCGTTTAAAAGATCCGAAGGTAGACGTAAGGGGGTACCATAAACAAGTTGTGCACAAGTTGCATTAATATCAGCTTTTAAAGCTGTGCGAATACCTAATAAAACAAGTGGTAAAATTTCGGCCCATTTATTATTTTCCTGTGCTATTATAGAACTTTTAAGTTATCTATGAAATCATTCTATCATTCCATTACTTTGCGCGTGATATGAAGTAGTATGGATGTGGTTAGTGCCTAAGATATTAGTGAGATTTCGAAAAAGAGTTGATTCAAAATTTCGGCCTTGATCGGTAGTTATAGTAACGGGAGTGCCAAATCTAGAGATCCAACCGTTAATAAGTGCTTTTGCGGTGGTCTCGGCAGTCATATCCGAGGTAGGGATAACTTCTGGCCATCTCGTGAATCTATCTATTATTGTAAGGCAGTATTGCTTACCTTCAGAAATAGGAAGTGGGCCAATAAAATCCAGATGGATATGGGAAAATCTTGCGTCGGGTTGAGCAAATGTACTAAAAGGAGCTTTAGTGTGTTGAAAAACTTTAGCTCGCTGACATTTCTCACAAGAACGAACTTTATTTTTGATATCCACTTTCATGTTGGGCCACACAAATCGTTTAGAAATTAAATTCGTAGTTGAATATATTCCAGGATGAGAAAAATAATGTAAATTATCAAAAATAATTTGCCTGTATGATTTTGGAATAAAAGGTCTAGGATACTTAGTTGAAAAATCACATATTAAATTAACATCTTCCAAAGAAAAGTAATGTTTTTCTAATTTTAAAGATGAATTATTTGAATTTAATATTTCTTTTAATTCTGAATCTTCATTTTGTTCCTGTTCTAGTTTTTTAAAGTCTATTAATGGAGGTTTTGAAATTGCATTTATTTCTATTCGCGATAGAGTATCAGCAACTGAATTAGATTTTCCTTTTACATGTTTAATATCAGTTGAAAATTGAGAAATATAATCAAGATATCTGGATTGGCGTTGGGAACATTTTTCAGGTTTTTGTTTAAACGCATAAATTAGAGGTTTTTGGTCAGTAAAAATAGTAAAATTTCTACCTTCAAGCATGTGACGAAATTTTTTTATTGACGCGTATATTGCCAATAATTCGTGATCGTATGTTGACCAATTTTGATGACTTTTATTTAATTTTGTTGAGAAAAATGCAATTGGTTCCCATTCATTATTTTGATATTGCATTAAAGAACTGCCGATTGCAAAATCAGACGCGTCAGTCCACAGACTTAAATTAGCACCTGGTTTAGGATATTTTAATAGAGTTGCATCGGCTATTGCTTGTTTTGCATCAGAAAAAGATTTGTTTGAAGTATCGGTCCAAATTAACGGTAAATCAGATTTTTTTGATGATTTGTTAGATTTCTTAATATTTCGTTGTCCTTCTAAAAACTTGGTTAAAGGTGATAAAATATGAGCTGCATTAGGAATAAAGCGTCTATAAAAATTAAATAATCCTAGAAATCTGCGTAATTGAGTAATCGTATTTGGTTTTGGAAAATTTAGAATTGCATTAACGCGATCACTTAAAGGTTCAATACCTTTTTCGGAAATTTGAAACCTAAAAATTGTAAACTATTCTGACCAAATAAGCATTTAGGGATTTATTGTTAAACCAAAATACTGCAGTCTATAAAAAAGTGATTTTAAATATTTTATATGCTCTTCGGGAGATTCGGAAGCTATTAATATATCATCTATGAAAGCGTAAACGCCTTCCAAGCCTCTAGTTACTTCGTCAATAAAGCGTTGGAAAGTACTGGCTGCATTGCAGAGTCAGAATTGCATACGAGTACTTTCGAATAATCCGAAAGGAGTTATTATTGCAGTTTTATGTACATCTTCATGGGTTATTGGTATTTGATGGAAAGCTCGAATTAAATCAATGTGAGAAAATATTTTAGTTCCATGTAGTTCACTAGTAAAATCCATAATATTAGGAATTGGATATTTATCTTTAACAGTTTGAGCGTTTAAAGCTCAATAATCACCTACTGGACGCCAGTCCAAACTATTTTTCTTGGGAACTAAATGTAAAGGTGATGAAAAATTACTTTTGGATGGGCGCATGTGGTCTAAATCTAACCTATGTTGAAATTCCATTTTTGCTATTTTTAACCTATCGGGTGCTAGAAGCCGAGTTTTAGCAAAAACTGGTGAACCAAAAGTTTCTATATGATGTACAACATTATGCTTAACAATTTGGTCTGAGAAAATAGGTTTCGTTATATCCGAAATAATGTCAGAATTTTTGAAAATACAATGAGAATTTAAATTAGTAGTAATATCATTTAAACAACGTTTTCTAATATTAGGTTTAAGATTAAAATAGTATAAAAAATCTGCACCTATAATATGATTAGTTATATCAGAAATATAAAATGGAAAATTAAACTTTCGTCTAAGACCGAAGTCTAAAGTTAACAATTTCTTACCGTGATGGTATTGTTCGCAGCTTTAAAAGTCTGAATCGGAGAAAGAGTTTTTTCTTTTTTATTTGTTGGAATAATTGAGCAGTCACTTCCGGTATCCACTAGAAATTGCTTGTTGGATTGTCTATCTCTAACAAAAAGGCGACAATTTGTTGGAGGCAAGATGTTAGTCGCATTCACTCTTGCATTTCTTGGTTTTTCTGGTAGATGCAGGGTTTGACACACTTTCTAGCATCAGATTTAAATTTCCGATGATAGAAGCACATTTTGGAGTTTCGATGTGGAGATGAGGATTGGCTTTGACGATTACGAAACTGTGCATAGTTCCGGTTGCGAGACCTACTGCGGGTCCGCAATGCAGCTACTTCTTTTCGTAGTGCTCGTACTTCTTCTAAAAGCTCAAAAGTGCATTGTTGGTTTGAAGAAACTACGCTAACTTCACTTGAAGTTGACACTTCCATTACTTTATCAGCAATTTCTGCTGCTCTAGTTGAATTTAGTGAAGGGATTGCCGCCAATATCGACTGAACATGCTGCGGTAGCTGATTTAGAAATAGTTCCAAAAGTAGAGAATCTGAGATTTCGTGGGATTCAGCTCTTCTCTGCATAGTGCGCAAGAGTTCACTAGGCTTTCTATCTTCTAGTTGCTCTCCGGAGAGTAAACGTCGAATTTCCTGGGACTTTGTTTCCCCGCAGCGTGGAATAATTTCTTCTTTCAGCTTTTTGAAAGGATCTTCTGCGTCAGGAGTTATAATGACGTCCCTTACAACTGCGGCTACTGCAGGAGGAAGATGGGCGAGGCAGTAGTTAAACTTGGTTTTGCTCTCTGTAATCGGTTTCGGTGTCGCAAACTGGAAAGTTGCTTCGACCATGTGGAACCACAGGTGTGGATCAGAGATGTTGAAGATGGGAATTTTTACTGCAGATGATTCCGCCATAGTTGCAGTTTCTTATTAATCCAAGAACCAAAAACAGGAAAGATCAAAAATAAAAGTTACTTGTATCGTCAGACATCCGGGTCACCATTGAAGTATGCGAAGATAGCTCCTTCGAGATACTAATATTTTATTAAACATATTTACATTTATATACAAGTTGGTTTGATTTACAAGAAGCATCATCACAGGAGAGAAATACTGACAGGCTGTCATGTGCGTGCTGGTATTTATACAATTCTAATATGATGACGTCAGAACTCTTATTTCAGTTCACTTCAAAAATAAGTAAAAACACAATTGATTAAAGACAAACAGATAACAATATGAAATAAACTTGATTTTACGATGAGCGGCGAACCTATCACCACAGTACCATGAAATGGTATGATATCACGTAATAATCTTTAGGGATTGGCAAACATCAGAAATAAAGGGCCATGGCTTCTTACTGAATAAGACACTAATGTAAGAAGACTAAGCTTCTTACACATATAAACGGATTCTGCTCGTAAAAACACTCGAATTGGCTACATTTATACACTATTTACGTAAATTTAAGGAACTTTACTATTCTGCTTGGAAAACTGACTTTGTTCTTGAGATTATATTTTTAAATTACATATTTTTGATGGTGAAGTAATAGTGCCTTTTACATCCATATTTAAGATTTTAAGAATCGGAACAATAAAGATATTTTTATAGTGTATTCCTAATCCTTACGTTTCTTAACCAAACATTTTTACACGAGAAAATTCGATTAGTTAGTAAAATTTTATCCGGATTGGTTCAATTTTTGACTCAGTGATAGCAGACACATAGATAACATATGTGATTTTGCAATCACGATGTAAAAAGCATAACTTAAGGAAAAATAATCAAACTATGCTTTGAAAAAAATTTTCTCTATACTTCATTTATTCTTTTATTACGAGAAATCTTGAGAAATATTAAGCTACTAACGCATTAACTTTTCAAAGTTCTCTTTACAAGGCAAGACATACATCTACAGAAAAAAATTATCAGAAAGTAAATATTTATTCTCTAAGAACAAATTCTATTGAGACTTAATCTTGCATGTCAGAAAAATTTTCGACTTCATGGTTGGAAAGACTTTTGAAAAAGGAAATCTTTTGACGGAAGTTAGAAATGATGGGACATAAATTTGCTTGGATAAATTTCCTTTTTGTGCTGAACACACAAAATCTCCAGGTCAGGTTATTTCTAGAGAAAAAGAGCATTTATACTTGATCTCCGTACCACTAAGTTATTCAAAGAGTGGTTGCATAGCAAATATTTTTATACTGATTTATGTACTAAGTATAATGTATCAAGTCAGCCTTAAAATAACGATTAGAAGCAATGCTAACTGGTTTATAAAACGGTGTTGAATGCAAACTTCAGTTAAAAGGTAAGCAAAATTATTTTCCTTAACAAATTTTCTATCAATTCAAAATTAATTTTGAATTGAAATTATGAAGTCTTTAAGAGCATATCTATTTTTTTTTTAAAAAAAAAACCTAGTTACGCAATAAGTATACTCAATCACGCAAAAATATTTTAAGCCATCCTTTATAATATATATATATATATTAATTTAACACTAGAACAAGTGAATTTTGGACTTACCTAAAACCGACATTTGGGGCTTATTTTGGCCCTCATACGAAGTTAATGTTTCTTCAAAGAAAACGATTTTTAAATTGATGAATATTATTGAAAATACAATATGCAAGATTTGTTTAAGATAATTTTTTCTTTTTTTTCATAACATGATGAAATATTACGATGTGAGGATTTTAATTTAAAAAACCTCATATCATTTCATTCTAACTTATATGACGATATTTGTTCAGGAACAATATTTACTTGTCCTGAATTTTAACAAATGTAACTGTTTATAATCAATATGTACATGGCTCCTTTCAGATGAAGTAAGAAAATAATAATTCAATAGGAACTTAACTAAGATACTTCTCTAATCTAATCCAAGATATCATTAAAATTTAAGAAAACTGTTGAAAGTTGCATTTATTTTGCAAAATAAACCCATTTCATAACTACAAAAAATAAACGTTTTTATAATGAGGGTCAAAATTACCTTTTTTTGCCTGCTTCATGTATTTCCATTAAGATTTGTTTTACTATTCTACAGAAAGGCAGGAAAGTTATATATAGTTTGTTGAGAAACAATATAAGGAAAAATCAAAATATACGAGCTTTGAAAATTACATGTCTCTTCAAAAATAACATAAGAAAGGGCAAAAATTATCAAAATGAACCCAACAGAGCTACTAGTGTTAATAGAACTTATGACTTTTTTCTATTTTTAATTTATAAAGACCAAAATTATAAATTTAACTACAGTATTTAGATGACAATCCCAATGAATGGGTTTTGTAAAAAACAAATAAAAACAAAAATAATTAAAGAAATTTAATTTTGTTTTCTTTTCAAATTTTACATCTCAGAACTATATAACCAGTACTATAAATTATATTACAACATCCCATTTATTTAAATTTTTCATTCATAATGTATTTCCAGTGTATTCATTACGTGATCTTTCTTAACATTTGTTTCTAGAATCTTACTCCAATTCTAAGTTTCAAAAAAATTTTAGATCAGAGGTCAAAAATTAATAGTTAAAAAAAACCCCATAAAACCAGTTTATTTACCCTATAAAACTCAGTTGTGTTTTCAATTATCAATCAAATACTCTCAAATACTCTCTTTTCTTTCAATACTCTCTTTTTATCCCTGCCCGATGTCATACCATTTGTTTCCGGCTAACATAATCCCTTAATGTGTATACTAGTTTGCCTTTCTTTTTGACAACGATTCTAAAAAAACACTATTTTAAGGGTGATCATTACGTAACACCTTGAAAATTCATTGAAAGTGTGCAGAGGTATTTCAAAATTTGTTTATTTTCATTTACGAAATAAATGACTGTCCGTGTGATGTGATTGCAATGATTAACATATTTCTATCTATGATCTGTCTTATCAATAAATAAGTCGAAAGAAATATGTGTATACATTTATTAACATAATAATTTATTATTGTAGACATCAATAGGATTGATTGAGGGGACACTTGGATAAAAATTTAATATAAGATTGATATTGAAATCTCATTGTAAAAATGTATAGCCGAAGACATGACTCCAAAGAATAATAAACTATTTTTCTAACCAACTAATATCCTCTGCCTACTCTGTTTTATTTTTATTTCTTCTAGAAGTGATATGTTTTAAAGGAAAGTTCTTCCCTGGAATACAAAAGATTTGTAAGTATTGAATATGTAAATTAATCGTATTTCGTAACTTCCGTCTGAAATATGAACCAATAAAAGGAAAAAGATCTTAATGTGTTACTTTCACCATATTTTTGCTTTTATTGATGTTGAAGAAAAAATAACTGAAATTCAAAACAATTGTAAGATGTATAGTTAGGAAAATAAGAAGTTTTGAAATATCATTGTCTGGAAAAGCGCATTACCATAAAAAGTACATTTTTCGGTTATGCTTTGTGGAAATAAATTTTGTGACGCAATGAACAAGTTATATATATTGTGACTAAACTACTTTGATCAATATTTTTAGTTAGATGCTTCAATCAATGAGTTTATGGCTTGGTATTGGTAATGATAATTTTATGGCTTGGAAATAGTTTACTAAATATAAACCTGTACATTAAATAATTTTGTTTTGCTTTTTTTATGTTATTGTATCACTGTTGAAAAAAAAGAAACAGGACAATCATCACGTGAAACAAGAAAAATTATAAAATATATGGAATCTAGAAAAGTTTAAACGAATTCAATTTTGTTCAGGAAAATATATTTGATAGACAAATATAAATGTAATAAAGTAAGATATCGTTTTCAAATTAATTGAATCATATTGATTGCAAGCATATATATAATATTAAAATATGAATTTGAAATAGATAAATAAAATCATCTACTAAAGAGGTATGATTCGGTCTATTTTAGAATAAACAACGACATTAAAATATGAACAGTAAAGAAAAAGTAAAATAAAAGTGCAAAGAATAAAGAATATGCTTTAAAAGATTTCGGTTTAGTAAAGTATGAACCAAAAAAAGTAAAGAATAATGGTTTGAAAAGAATATTTCAACGAAGTTCTTTTGAAAATTCCGATTCATCTAATTATATCCATAAATATCTGTTTTTGATAGAAAATTCGTCCATATCCAGTTTACGTTTGAAACTTAGTATCACTTATATACTTATTATAGTCTCTGTTCTGCACGTGGGAATTTTTTTATTATATTTTTCGTTTTTAATTAATTGATAAATGGATATCTTTTATAATCTTTTATGGATTTATGGATCTTTTATGGATAATCTTTTATGGATTTTTCTTCAATATTCAGTTGTTTTATAATGAATTATTAAAAATGTAGGGATTACGTTTATAATGTATGAAAAAAATATTATTAGTGCAACTGACTGTTGGTGGATGCTTACAAAGTAGCGTCTTAATTCATCAACCTAATACTTATCTATCAATTTACATATAGTCAATAACTTCTAAAGTAGAGTATGAATAGATAAAAGCATGTGACCAATAAATAAAATTAATAAGAGGTTTATTCTGTGACAAACATATTGAGTTTTAATTCATTCACAAACAGACAGTAAATTACTTGTCTATATTTTGAAGTTTCAAACCGAAATTAATATTAAAACTGTTGAATGTGAAATATCAAATAACTGCAACTTAAAACCAATTTGCTTACGCTCGACACAAACCAATTACGCTTTCATTAATAATAAATACCTTAAATATTATTGAATATTTCTCAAAATTGAATAATTACTTTAGATAATATTTTATTCAAACTTAATTCTACATTAAAACTTACCAGACGCATTATATTAAATGTACATTACGTTTCATTTATACTGTTATTTGTGTAGTCACTAATATTAGTTTGACGTGTTTGTTAAATCCATCTGTATTTGATTCATTA